TCAGTACCAGGTGAGAGTAAACACAAAGCTCTCTGTTAGAAGCAAAGGGCAGGAGAAGTTAAGTCTTTCTCTACACACACTCCTTGCGCCTCATCTGTATCTCTGAACCTCTCTCGTTCTATCACATCATGCAGAAACTGTTGGTCAACACTTCATTGGGCCTACACACCCTAATTACAAAGACGAAAGACCCAGCGTACCCTTCCTTTAAAAAGAGACCCAATGCTTATGGAACAGTGAGCTCTGGGCTTAGCAATAATTTACTAACAGTAAGGGCAATGGTTGAATAAAAAGATGAACATAATATCACTGAAGTATACGTGTGAAGACTGATTAAATGTCAAATGTCTTATTGTATTTATCATATATATATATTTTTAAAGCCAAAACGAGGAGGGGACCTTAAGTGATATTATATATGCATCTTTAACAATGTTGTGAGGTGCCACTGAGTCGGTTCCAACTCATAGTGCCCTTACGTGCAACAGAACAAAACACTACCTCGTCCTGCACCTCCTCACAGCTGTTCTTATGCTTCAACGATAGGTGCAGCTTAACCTGCATTTCTCAACATTCATCAGCCACTCTGAGGCATTCTGAAAAAATAACAGCCTTCCTTAAACATGAACCCCATTAATTCCAGTATTTAACTTATTCTGGGTCATAAAGGACAAAAAAAATAATTACAGGGACAGAATTAGCAATATATTTATGAAAGTCTGAAAAATTTGTGGAATTAGGTTAAGAAAACCAAGGACTGGTTCCACTTAAAATCTGAGAACTAGAACACATTTTATTGTCATTCTTTGGAAACTGGGTAGCATCCTCTTGTTTACTTGCTATTTTTGTACAATTTCCTCCACTATTGTTGGCATTTCAAAACAAAATAATACTCTTATCCTCAAAAGACTGATTCCAGTTCTTGCTTTGGGGGTGAAGGGGGCTATATTTCTCAGAATGAATTTTATTTCACAGTAGTCTACAGAAATGAGAGCTTTTCATTTAGAAGGACTGAGTGGTAGTACTGGGTGGGAGGCAAGACCCTATGGTTTCAGGAAGAAAAGGAAAAAGAAGGAGCGCAAAAGGGACCAGGAGAAAGAACAGAGTGAGCTTAAACCCAGAAAAAATACTACAGGTATTACTAGCAGGAGATCTGGTTTCCTTAGTTAATCTTCTTACCCACAGACTCCTTTGCACCAAGAGGCACGTAAAAACACCAGTTTTAGCTAGGAATTCCAATCATTCTTACTTCGGGTATTGGGAGAAGAGGGGAGAGAAACTCCTCAGGAAAGAAGCCTGGATAGTATTTCCCATAGACAGACAGCTATACACAGTGCTTCGAGTCTCTAAGAAACTCAAATTACAACAATAGTGCAGTGGAAAAATATATCCTGGCTTTTAGACATCCAACTCATAACCAAACTTTTGGGACACAACCTATTCAAAAGTGTGAGATTTGTTTTATGGTCTTCTCTAACAGAAATATGTTTGAAAGA